CTTTTCCATGTGACACACATTTTGGGGATCGGCAAGGCAGACTTCACCCTGAAGTGGAACGATTTGAGGGCTTCTTGAGACACAAACTCATGTCAACCATTGAGATACTGGGGCCGTGTGGGCGGTCATTTTTCACACCGGAAAGCATTTTATGAATAATTATTTAGATTAAATGCGGTGTGATAATTGACCGTCCCACACCCTGCCACGCAAATTGGACTCGGTAATTCGATCCGCAGCTGACCATACAGCGTTTCTAAGATGGTTAACAAGCATAAACTTTTGTTTGCCTGAAGTATAGGGCACGCTACTGAGTTGGTCGCCAGAAATAAAATTGCAGTAGTACCCTTTTGTATGGACACTTATGGCACCACAAATATGCCTCCACGTACCTTGTTTATTGCGCTTTTGCAAATCACTTACATGACACCATCAGTTTGGTTAAACCGGATAACAACCCTTCACAAGGGAGCAGACTGGCTTCTGACCAGACCATGGTCTTGTCACAGTTTCATCATCGGACTAGGGGAAGCCAGCTGTTGACAGGAGCAGCTGGTTTCTTGGCACAGGTCCATGAGACTTTTCCTACCTATGGCAACTGTTTGTCCATTTTCAGGAGAATCCTCACGGGAGTGGATGGAGTGGTTGCTTTATGTTGCTTCCAGATGCCGCCAGCAACTGCTTTGGGATTGCAGTTCTCAGGATGCGTGGGTGACCAAGATGGCCTTTGAGCAGCTTGGCAGTGGAAGGTCTTCAAAATCCAAGACTTTTTGAAAATCACGATAGACCTGTAGATCCCGACTAATAATGTATTCGAAACCGTCTTTATCTATTGAGGGACCACTATAAGGCAAAAATAGATCAAAGGTAGTTTCTTTTTTCAGGTGGTCGTTATGAGTCCAATGAACGCAATGAAGAAAGACCTATACTATACTCTGTCACTCAAGTATCAGAAGTAATTCGACCAACCGGTGCCGGGTTCAAATTCCATGTTGAACATGTTGGAGTTTACACCTCCATAACATGTGTTTCACATTTTCTTTACAAGGCCCCCCTATCTTGGAACACCGGATCGGTCCGTGTGAGCAAGTGAAGGTCGGGGAAGTGGAAGGACTGTTCTTCTCGCGTGATTGGATGAGAAGCTAATAGGGAAAAATCAATCAGATCAGCATAAGACCCTGTTCGTAGCTTCTTGCTCCGTTCGTAGCGATGCCAGGAGCCCCGTTCGTAGCGCTCCTAGTATCTCCTAGTAGTATGGCCAGGAGCTACTAGTAGCATCCGCCAAGCCAACCAATTGGACCGCCTGGGGAATCATTGGGGATTTGGGGGGGTTTCTCGAGTCCAAGGATTGCCGGATGCCAGATGGTGCTGTTTGGATCAATTCTAATTCCACCAGTCCTGTTGATTGCCGGATCGGCTCCAACCCATCCGTGGGCTCCACGGGGCCTTGAGTCGAGGACCATCGCGGTGTGTGGCTTGGGAACGCCACTGGGCTCCTTCGAGGACGCCAAGCAGCACCCCTGGGTGTCCGCCTTCAATGCCTGGCTCTCAGAGACGGTTCATGGGGGCGGCACCGGATATGTTTCCCTTGGCTTGATGGCGAGTCGGCCAGGATGTTTCGACACTGAAAGGAAAAGAACCATGTCACATGATTGATGCGACGGTGTTTAGGGTGTATCATGTATCATGGCGTGATATGGCGTGTCATTGAACAGTATGAACGGTAGCGGTCGGCAAGAGGCAAGAGATTGATGATCACTATGTTGCGGAAAGGATTTTTACAAGCCATCGTCATTTATGGTTGCTGGTGATGGGATATACCCAAACTATAGACATCTATAGACTATAGAATATAGACTAAATTATGCTCCTTGGAGACGTTCGGTCTCATTTCGTTATTTTCTGTCTTGACATGTTCTGTTTGACCCTGCTTCAAGAGAACTGAAAAGGATCCATGACACTGTCAAGTCGCATTCTCAGTATCAAAAGTCTCGGCAACCCTTCATGTTTGAGTTCTTTTCTATGTTTGATGTTCTTCAACAGTTTCAAAAGGCAGCTTCAACTGGGAATTAACAATGTTCTCCCATCCCAGAATCACATGCTTGGGTTTCATCCCAGGTTCACCCCTCCCAAAATCTCCCCTACTGCCTTCCAGGTTCCAAAAATGTCACTCAGGACGCCATGAAGTTTCTGGGCCAGAGTTGGTTACGTGCCGGGGCGCCCAGGGTTTAGCCCAAGTTGGTGTTACCCCAGAAAAGTTGACATGTTGTTTCAAAACATGGAACAAGCGGGTGCACATGTTTGTGTGGTAGGCTTTCATTGCAAGCACCTGACTTGGACCTGAGGGCTCAAAGGGTCAGAAAACAAGACCTAAGGGCTGGGCAGCTGCAATGAAGTGCAAGATGTTGGGCTCATGTCCCAACAAGGGTTGCTTGAGTTTTCACATGGAGCAGCACAAAAACCGCCAAATCCTTCACTAGATGTATGCTTCTCTTGGGCGGCATAGCTCGGATCATCCATCCGACGATCCAAGTCATCCAATGCCGACCCGAGCCGCAACCCGAGCCCGAGCCGCACCTGCGCTCCGGTCGCCCAGATGACTCCCCGCTTCTTGTGGCCGTTCTTGTTCCCCAAAGGCGCGCTGGTACCGTTCGGCTGATCCTCGCGCGGTGGTACACGGGGCGGTTTCCTTCGCGGCGGTTTTTCTGGACCGGTCCGTGTGGTCTTGGTCCGACATGGACGTGCGACCAGTCCAACCGCGGAGCTTCGGTGGTTTTGGGCAGGTCCATCGGTTCTAACTTCACTTGTTTCAAGCGTCGTTTGAAAAGCACCGGGATTTCCTTTGGATGGATCGAGGACACTTGTCCATGTGTTTCAAGTCGGCTGACCCAAGCAGTGTTAGATCAGGTGTTAGATCATGCTGGATCTTTGGATGGCTTGTGCATGGTGCTCGCATTTCCACATTCCTGTTGATCCTGATGGTTTGGTCAATTGGCTATCGCACGTTCTTTCTCCACCCATCCCCACCGATGGTGGAGGTATGCAGAAGTGGGATTGTTGTACTAGAAGCAGTAGCATCAGCATTTGTAGTAGCAGCGGTCGTGGCAGTTGTAGTTATCAAAGTAAAAGTAGCAATAGTCGTCGTCGTAGTGGGAGTAGTCGTAGAGATCGTGGTGATGGTGGTGGTGGTGGTGGTGGTGGTAGGCGTAGGTTTGGTAGGAGGAGTAGGTAGTAGGTAGTAGGCAGTAGTAGCAGTAGTACTACGCGGGTGGTAGCAGTAGCAGCAGCAGCAGCAGCAGCAGCAGGAGTAGTAGTAGTAGTAGTAGTAGTAGTCAGTCATCACCGCCATACACCACCATCATCGTTTTTGTGCTTATCCTCATCATCACTCACTGCAGTCAGGGATTACTTCCAAAAATACGCATCTCAGCATGCCACTTACGATCGAATGCCCGCATATGTTTGCGAGGACTGGAGCGCTTCGATGCAGAAGCTTGGCATTTGTGTGTTCACCCCTTTTGGCAACCGGAGGATGACTAATGTTGACTGGGTTGGTTTGTTGACGTATTAATACGTTTATTATAACCCTGAGGATCGAAAGTTAGCTCTATATGCTAACATTTGGGGTTGTGTCTTCTGGGGCTCTCCGACCTCACCCTGTGAGGTCCGACCTCAAAAAACGAGATCATACCAGACCCCAAAACCACAAAACCACAGAACCCCAAAACCACAACCCAACGATCCCAAATTCAAATTCGTCACGGGTTGTCACGCTGGAGTCCGACAATGACCTCATTTTTAAAGGGACAAAATAGACCAATCACGGTCTGTCACGGTTCGTCACGCCCTGGTATGCTTGGTTCTTGGGATTTCATGGTCTTATCCTCCGACAATGATACTGGAATTGTATATACATTTCAGGTACCCCAATCTGTGATTCGACAATGTCTTCAAATAACACGATCAATAGAAACGTATGCATATCCTGAGATCATTTCTATTTGTGACCTATGTGTGGTCATGGATCGTCAGGGTAAGATATAAGATTGAAGGACCAGAATTGCGTTTACAGTTTTCACCACAACATTGTTTTGTTCCTTTGTTTGGTCACGTGCGAAACCCCCGCAAGGAGCAACTTGATTTTACCTTTTGGACTTGTAGAGGGCAGAATTTGCACGGCGTATATATCGATACCAGCATGTACAAAATACGATGTTACGATATTTGCCTATAATTAATTCCATCGACGACTCATAACAACCTAAACTAAACTGTCACCCCTGTCAGCAACAAAACATAACATACACTCCACCAAACTGACCTATATACCTGGAATAGTGAATAGTGTGCAACATGCAAGACGGAGGGAGTATACCTTGACTTTGATTCCCCTACTCCTACCTGACTCAGATGATCCCAGATGCGCACTCAACACAGCGTGCAATCCAAGGCCTGCGAGTGCATGCGGAACACACGTGCCTTGGGATTCCCTGTGGACGTCCTTTCCGCAGCGATGAACGCGCAGGGGTATTCTTTGGCCAGGTCAAGTAAGCGGTCCGCAGGAGAATTTGCCTCGAAAGAATGTGTATAAGCAATGTGTTTGGCAAATTCTCATGCAAACCACCACTCGACTCACTAGAGATTTGATCCAAGAGTGTTGAAGGATACTCGCAGACTCAGCTTGCTGTTTGAGTTGTGATGTTGACAGGTATAAGTTAAGTATAAGTTTAAGTCAATTTGAGGCAGGCTCACCTAGGCTCACAGAAAGCGGATGGAGTCAGACAATACACAGCAGTCACGAGTTATTTGCGCTTGTTGTTGCTCAGCATCAATGTTCCTCCCATTGGGTGTATTCTGGGCTTCCTGAACGGCCCTCAAGCAAACAAAAGTCCAAATTAATACGTGATGGTCTGGTCTAATCGTCCAAACGCATGGAACGAACACTGCTCAATCTGGTCACCGTCACGTCCTTCTTCCACCGTCACGGCTCCAAAACTCCTTTGGCTCGCAGGGACCCGGCTCCACCGCGCGGTCGACGAACGAACCGCGTTCGGACGGCGGGACGGCAGCTTGCGGTGTCCCGGGCGGGCGATCGTGCGCCTCATGGGATGAACTGGGAGGAGTTTCAGGACCCGCGACCCACGGGGCGCACGTCGCCATGTCGGACCCGGGTGACACTGGTGGAGTGGAGTTGAGTTGAGTACCGGAAGGGGAGGGCGTATGCGAAAAAGGACGGCTCGGGGAAGATGGGATGCCCAAATGACTCAGCCGGTCATGTCATAAGTGGGACCACCAGATTTGGGGTGGGCCTCCCGCCCGCGTTGTGAGATTTGTTTGTGCACGGATGTTTGTGCATGAAGTGAAACGACAGTGAAACAGACTGTCTTGCTTCCCTTCAGGGGATCCCTCCATATCCCTCCGCGGTGCGACCGAGTCACCAAGTCCGTCCCGGCTCTCAGGAGGGGGAGGGCTTTTCGGAGCAGGATGCCTTGGAGACCGCCAAGCAGCCTGCGATGGCCAAGTCCGTGGTGCATTGTTGTTTTTCTTGTGTGTGTGTGTGTGTTTGTTTGATGGGAGCCTCCCAAAATCAAGTCTGTTTTGGAGGAAGCGGTCCTTTACCTCAATGTTCAACCTGGAGGCGTTTGACTAGCCTTGAAGCCCTTGACATTAGACCTGTTAGTCTCCTCTCTTTAGGTGGTCTAGTCTCGTCTACTACACACCCATCACTCATCCAAGGCAAGTGGCCTATGACTGTGCGAAGAGCGTGCAGTTTGCAGGGCATTTGTTGAAAGGGACTCTTGGTGTGGAGAGGGCCTGGGTGACTCGGAAAGTGGAACATTCACGACATGTCAGGAGTATCAGCTGGTTTTGGCCAGCGGGTTTAAAATGCTGGTTTTGTAAACGGTTCAACCCATAGGATTTTTTTCACAATTAAAGAGAGCTCCAAACCTTTGTAAATACCAGCCAATGAGCACACTTCGAAATGGAAGACACGTCAGGTCTTTGGTGTTGGAGTTTAGCTACACCTGGGACCTGAGGCTTGAGCTGCATCCAAATCCACGGTCGATCGGCACTGCCGAGGCCTGAGCTGGTCTTGAGGATTTGGGAATCCACAGCGGGTGCCATCTTCAAGGAAGTGGAGACTGGGCCACTTGGGCGAGCTTGTGACAAAGTGGGTGTGGGGGAGTCTGGTGGATCCAGACTTGGGAAGTACCCGTGCAAGAGCTTTCGAGAGGCATGTTTGGTTACGTACTGGTAAACGTACATCAGTGCAGATGCAGGATCTTTTGTCCGTAATTTGCCTGCCCAACAGAGAAAGTCTATCAGTCTATCATTCTTCAAGTGTTGTGCAGGGCCCGGTGGTTTTGAACAAGTCAGAATTACTTCCTCGGTTTAGAGGCCGGCTGGAATGGGCCAGATGCTCAAAAGATACCAGAAGATGGGTCATTGGAAAAACCTTGGATTGTTTGTTACTCTCAGGACCAGGTTCTGCCAAACCTTTAAAATCTCTTATGGTGCTGGCTCACTCACTTGTGCAAGAGTCGTGGAAGGCTCGGCTCACTCACTCTGAGGCGGAATATTTTTGTCTTTGGCCTGGGCACCTTTGGCCTGAAAGCGCAGCAGCTGATCTTCGCCCCGCAGGAGGAGTTCCTCAACACCCACAGCACCGGCCTTGGCGGTCGGACGGGACGGTTGGGTCGTGTTTGTTTTACACAGATCATTCACGTCTCGGTGAAGCGGCTTTCTTGACACTTTCCTGACGGCATGATCAGAGGGCATGATCAACCTTGCAACAACCTAGCACATGGCATAGTTTTGTGGATGCTCTTGCATAGTTCCGACAGACCAATTTACAATCGTGCCAGTTCCGTTTCGTGCCTGGATTGGTCAGCGCGCTCTCTACTTCGTACCGTCAGCATGGTCAGTGCAGTGTCCGGACTGAGCACCTTTCCGGACGCCTTTCGCACTCGGAGTGGTCCTGTCCGCAGACGAGTCACCGCGAATTCTCCAAAAACAAAAGTGCTTCCGCAGACGAGTCTCTCACCTTTTGACACTTCGCACTTCTTCTCATTTCATTTCAAAGAAGAAGTATTTACTTGTTTTTGTTTGTTTTTTCTCACATTCTCAGAAATCTGAGGTCTGGACCCCGGCTTCTTCCTCGCCCAAATCCCGCAGATCCCACGCCCCAGCACAGCGCTGGTCGCCTCCGCCGTGGCTGTGCCACGCTCCGCGGGGCCACGGGTGGAAGAGATGGTGTCTTGGGCCAAGCGGTGGCCGGTGGCGGGTGAAAAGAGTTTCGCCATGAAATCCATCCCGGATCCCGGCGGTTTTCCGCGATCGAGCTCCATGGCATGCAGTTCCAAAGGCTCAAAGTGGTTGGAAGAAGAAAGGGCCTACAGAGCCTTTGGAACAGATTCACATGATTCATCACCGTAGTCCAAGTTTTTGCAACAGACATTGGTCGAGATGGTAGATGCACGAACATATTTACGGGTGTTGTTCGTAGGACCTGGCAGCTAATGACTTCAAATACATTTCTTTTTATGGGCTAGGTGCCAACTTGCGATTAAGTTCATGTTTGAAGGGCATTTCAAGCATTTCACCAACATGTTTGGTCGATCTGAAGGGAACGTCATGCAATTTCCTTTGGAGACAGACCGGCGGAACACTCCAGCCATGAGATCCGCACGGTGTTATGTCGATGCTTCTTTTTACCGGATTCTGTAAGTTAATTTGACGTTTTGTGTTGTTTCTTTTAGGATCTATTGATATATCATATCTATTAGGTTTTAAATCAGAAACATTATATTTGGAAGATATTGGAAGTGAATTTGACAGGAGACCCGGTGGGTGGGTGACTCAATGATTAACCGACCCTTTGTTCTGCCCAGTCTTCAGACAGACAACCTGCTTCACTGCTGGGTGGTTCCGCCGGGCCACCACTGGAGCATCGACACATTGTGTACTACCGATTCCAGGCACCACAGACCCATGGAACACTTCAATATCCGCCAGGACTCTGTTTCCACAATGTGTTCCACCACGTGGGTTCTTAAAGCTACTCTGACCGGTGGTACTATCACCACCTGTGGAGTGGACGACCACCGGAGCAGCCAAGGCCACCCTGGCGGCAAAGCTGGATTTGCTGCCGCGCACCAAGCGCCTTGGATGCCGCGGGTCATCGCATGAGGGCTCCCAGTGGGTCACGCTTTGTGGCAGAGAACTTGTGTTGGAAAACAAAGACCCATACATACTGGAAGACTACCTCCATCTAACTCCTATAGACTCCAAAACGGTGGTCAACATAGCATAGTGCAACTAATTGGTGCATATTGGTGCACCCAAGCTCTTTGTGGATGTGAAAAACATCAAGAGGCCAGGGACCATCTCACATCCTTCGCCCTTGAAAGAAACAGACCGGACAATTCATGGCGCCAGGATGTTTTCGAATGAAGATTCATCATCGTTCGATGCTTCCGGTCTTCGAGTTCTTCCTTTCCGTCACCCATCCTCCTTCGCTGGCGCCGCATCGCGCGCCTTCCGTGAGGCACTCGGTGGCGACGGTGGCGCGGCTGCTGGAGATCTCCAGCGAGCTGGTGCTTCAGGCCTTACAGGCGCCGACCGGCGATCTCCGGTGCTGCGATCGGGATGAGACCGTGTTGGGTGTCGTCGCGTTTTGGGGGTGAGATACAGGGATTCACAGGGATTCGGGATTTGAATGGATTTGATGATATTGGATGACATGTTTTCTATTGTTTTGTGGAATCAGACTATGGCTTCGCATTGCTTTGCATTCATTCATGAAGTGTGGGAGGAATTGGGAGGATTCACCAGGAGCCCTTGGACCCTTCACCAGTTGCTGACGCCTTTTTCTATTCTCACCGTACAACACCCTCCAACCATCTCCCAGACACTCCATGGGACTGGCATGATAATTTACAGATTTTTGCAATATTGTGATATTACAAATAGAGGTGGTTTAAAAGTGGGTCAATGTATGGCATATATATTCCTGTCCCACACAGGTCATTGTGTGGGTTTCAAGCCCTGACCCTTTCGAGATCGCCAAAAAGGCCATGGTGCACCGCATGGGGCAGCAGATGGCGACGGACGAATCTGAGCGACAATGAGATGATCCGCTCATTGCCCAATGGTTGTATACAAGATGTGTGCAGTTATGGAGTGGGAACACCTAGATTCTTCTATAGATTCTCCAATTATACAATTGGTATACTGGTATACTTTTGAAGGGAACAAGAGAAGGAGTTCATACTATATAATCAATGTCTTATTGTGTTTGGATCCAACTCCGGTTCTTGGCTTTTTCAATAACATGCGGGCGACCCAGTGTGCAGCACCGACGTCCAAATCCCAATGATGGGAGGGGTAGCACATCAAAGTCGCTCGTTGTGTTCCTTCAAAACATGAGGTTTTTTGTTATACTATACCTTTTAGACGTTTGACATTTCAGATCGTTCCGCTTCTTTCGCTGGAACGGACCATGTTGCAAGGATTTGGCACTGAGCTTTGCGCCGCTGGGCACCTTCTTTTCTCGCCAGAAACACCTCAGCTTTCGTCCGGACCCGGCCGCCGCAAGGGCGGCGGCGGCCCTGTCGCCGGGGCTGTGGAACTTTGGGCCGACGATTCCATTGAGGCCGGCCGTTGGAGGTGAAGGTGAGATGGCGAACGTCGAACGCGACGAGGCATGAGTTGGACAAGTCTAGAGTCTAGAGGTTTCCAAAGAAGGGGGCTTTTGGTGAGGAGCATGCTGGGAGACAGTGTATGTATATGCGATTATATGTGTATTCTCAATGCACTGTTCTTTTTTTCTGGATGGGGTGCTTTGCATGACAAACAGCCAGATACAGGTCAGGCAGCACATGCTTTGCTGCAGAAGTGGGTTGCAAGACACACCCCGAATCATCCCTTGAAAAGACCATATGAAAAGCACAAATGGGGCACACTTGCTCGCCTTGGGTCTATTTTTGCTCACTTTTGCCTGGCAGATTAATGCCACTTCCAGCCTCTTGAGCTGTTTGTTTTGCCCAGTGGGCGAGCTAAACGTGGTTCTCGCCCATCCACACAATTTTGGATGTTTCAGTAGATCTCATTTGGATTGTTTCAACTCATGGAGTATTAACAGGACAACTCCTGGCCACTTTAAAGAGACAGGGTTGTAACTTTGATGAGCCAAATCCATTAGCCAACCCCGAGACCTACACTGCCTATACCTGCAGGGACCCTGAAATTGCGGAAAACATGACGCAGCAAGATTGCGCAAAGGCATGACACCAAATGATGCGCGAGCGACAAAGGATCAACGCAGAAGGCAACAAATCCCGACACCCGATTTCCTTGGGCTTTGCGTGCACAACATAAGCCATCCTTCGCGGGGTTTGTCGGTGTAGTATTCCATATCACGTGCAGCCGTCAGGAATCCCTCGGATTCGCTGGTGCACGTCAGGAAGCTGCTCTCAACAGTGGAGAAGCGGAAGTCTAAACTGGCCCGAGGCGACGCCGTGGGGCGTGGGATTTTGTGGGTTTCAAGGGCCCACCCTGATGAACAGGAGAGCTGTGACGCAACAAGGGACCTGGACAGTTGGTAGATTATTAATATAGAAAGCTCACGGCATCCGGTATCCCAAAAGAGAAGACTTTTTCTGAGAACTCCAGAATTCCAGTACTTCTGGCATATAGACATACATAACAGATCATAACAGTATTAATACCTTCAGCATCCTTCACCCCTGGCATAGTCCAGCATCGATCCCCGCCGCCAGGGCCGGTGCCACCACCTAAGGCCGGCCGTCTCCGCCCCCAGCCGCGCGGTCGAGACCGCGTTTCGACCGGCGAGGGCCGGTGGGAACGGTCGCTGCCGGGCACGGCGGAAGTCTATCCGGACTTGCTGAACGAGCCGCCCGGATGCGAGACATGGAAGAACGGATGGAATCCATCGGTAGATTCTGGAAGAGCTCCCACCTAAGGTACAGTCGCACACCGGCTGCTCCATTCGTGGGCATGGAGGACTCACGCTGGCTGGTAGTGTTCAAGGCCTTTGATGTTCTTTCTTCAATGGTTTTTGCTGGTAGTGTCGTGGCGTTAATTTGTCGTTTCCTAAGAATCTCCAGCGGTTCAGCAAGCGGTACAGTAGAATGTTCAACACACATATTCATGAACATTCTCCCAAGGGCTCCCGGATACCTTCTCAGAGGGTGTCTGGAGTCCGGGGCCTGTCTCAGGAGGTTTTGGCTCCGGGACCTCCCTCAGCAAAAGTTAGAATTTAACGTAAATGGTTTTCCCAAAAACACATGAATGGTCACCAAAACTGAGTAATCTTCCAGACATGTTCCCTCACCAAGGGGTTTTGAACCACAATTGTTCCCCATCTTTGTTCCTGCCACCCTCCAGCAGCCCGCCGTTTTCACATGCTCACCACGTGCTCGCGCCAACGACGAGCTCGCCAACGAGCGGGGAAGCTCAGTTGGCATGGGAGGTCTCATTGAAGGTCTGCAAGCTCCCAGCAGCACACAACCTAAGATATGTCAACACAGATTATGTTTTATGATGGATGTTAGGGTCGAGTCTGGGATGAGAAGGCAC